AGGGAACGAAGGAACACAGTCCTTGAAAAGCCATTGAAACTCCTGGTCGCATTGTTTCTCGCTTTGTTTTTGTTAATCTTCCTGTTATATATTACTTATATTTTGCTTTTGCACAGGCCACATGTTTTGTTTTGTCCACCAATTTGTTAAATTCAGCAAATAAACAGTAACTGTACATTACAAATCGCAGAAGTTTGTTCTCTGTAGAGGACATGCAACTTATTTTCACTTACAAAATCAACAAAACGTAATTTGAACAGAGGCACCCACATTTTATTGCGTACACACACACACACGCATACACAAGTGAAATTGGTATATCAAGTAATAAAATGTGCAATTCAGATGGGCCGAGAGTGAGAGTGAGACAGAAAGCGAGAGAGAGAAATAATGAAAGAGAAAGACAGAGACGTGTATGTGGCAGCAGGGCTGTAAACAGGCTGATGGTTCAGGTGATGCTGGTTGTGTCTGTGCAGAAGATGAAGGAGGCACAAAAGTGAGCAGCCAGAAAGACAGAAATACAAGACGCTGTCCAGTGCTGATCTGTCCAGTATCGTATAGTGCTGATCTCAGACCAGCCTTGTATTCACATCTAAACTCCTAAACTGACAGGGGAACTCTATGATGAGTTGTAGAAGAGGCAAAAGGAACAAAAGGTCGGCTTCCAGGAGAGAAGTAGAATCGGTCAGAAAGTTGGAAGCTCTGTCAGCATCTCTGCTCCAGCATCAGACCTACAGACACAGTTTCAGTATGGAGTGCTTGTGCTCCATGAATGCCAGCCAATTATTCACTTCCTCCTGACCCTGAGTTTATACTGACCCTACAGGTGGCCATATGGCCAGTCACCTCAACCGGACAGGAACTAAACTGTGTATTTGTTTAAACACAGTAGAATGGAGGCATTCTGCCAGAACATGGTCCACCGGGAGCCATGAGCTGAAGTCAACTAAGAGTTCATTCTATATTACTGGTAATTTTTATGCTGGTAGACAATGCTACTGCTTTTTTCTATAGCTGATCCTACAAATGCAAAGCTACTTTGGCTAAGCTGGACATGCAAGTCCCATTCAACCTAATGAGAAACAATACTCTAGATATTTATTTCAAATGATATTTATTTTGTTCATAGTAGAAAATCTTGAAGATCTGAAGTTCTTCACAACACAAGTTAAAGAACAGAAAAAGATAGGACTTCAGCTCAATATTTTACTACTTTAAAAAGTATTTTACTACTATAAAAGTTTACTACTGACCAAGACCGCTAACTTTACCAGTGATGTTGAAATATAGCAGTGGTGGACAGCTTTTGCCTTCTTGGACAGATTATTAACAGGAAAGGATCCAGCAGTCAAGAAATACGTCACAGATGAGCACTCAGCAGAACCAGGACGAAGAAGCTTGAAAAGATCTTTGAATGTAATGACGTAACTCTGCAAACAAAGGTCAGAATGGTCCAGACTATGGTCTTTTCTGTGGTTTTTTATGGATGAGAAAGCTGAACAATAAACAAGCAAGACAGGAAAAACACTGACACTTTTGGCGTTGAAGACTTCTGAGAGCATCTTGGACGGGAAACAAAACCGATTCATGACCAAAATCAAGCCACACTTCTCACTCAAAGCCCATATAACCGAACTGAAGCTCTTTTATGTTGGACATATGAAAAGAACCAACTCACTGGAAAACATCTATATGCTTGGAAAAGTTGAAGTTGAAGGTAAGAGAGCAAGATGAAAAACCAGCAACAAGACAGATGGACACGATCAGAGATACCATGAATAAGTCATTAAGAATTCTAAAAGACCCAAAAAGAAGACAAGACATTCTAAAGGAACACTATCCATAAAAAAACAGGAGTCAGAACAGACTTGACGGAACTTAATAATGATAATTCATTCATCTTGGGAATCCCTCAACTATAAACAAAGCTACAAGTTAAACAGGATTTTGCCAATGTAAGGTCAGGTTAACCTTTTGAATTGCCAGGTTTATTCTTCAGCAATCACATGGACTGCAATGCTAACTGGCACAGAGTTATTTTAGGTTATAGAAGGGTGAAATAAAACTTTGGGCCTGCTGGTGGGTCTTGGACATTTAAGGAGTTAATACCCTTCATCACATTCCCCCAGTGCTGTGTGAACCCCTCTCTCTCTCTCTCTCTCTCCTGGTGGTGACAGGATGGAAGCTGCTGATGTGGCAGTGCTCTCCTGCAGAGGATGAAGGACGGCAGCAAGTGTAGGATCATAAGTCGTCTTATCTAACATTACTAGGTCGACACACACCTTCTGCACCAGCACTGCATGCAGGACTGTACACAACATGCTGCCCCTGGCAACCAGAAAACTCAGCTCACTGAGCAGCAGCGCTTTGTAGTCTGAGTTTAGCGCACAGAGAAAAACCCTCAAACGCTCTGCTGCTGGTAACTAATGAGAATGTCTGCACAAAAGGAAACATAAGAGAAAGCAAATATTTCACCATTCAAAGAAGCAAATGTGTTAACTGTGGTGTATCTAGATTCACTGAAAATCAAGCTGCTTCAAATTCTAGCCATGATGGGTGGCGATGTGTCATCTATACTGCTACAGTGATATAGATATCACACAGGGGTACTGAGCAGTACTGAAATACTGAGAGACATTTTGCAGTAATGATAGATAACAAGAACCGATAACTGCAATGTTTGTCATTTACTATGTGAAGCAAATAACAGTTCAAGATACGAACTCAATAAATATTAAGTTTTCTTTCTTAAATCTGGTTAACATTTACAATACTGTTGAAAGTTTCTCTTGGTGTAACTTCAAATTAAGCAGCACTGAACAATACAATCTCATCCAAACAAGCTATGCCAGGTCTGTAAGTCATTCTTTGGGCAGCACTAAGATTCATTAACTTCATTATTGCAGACTAAAATATCATCTGACACCATAAAATGTCATGATTTTGAATTTTATCAGTACTGCCTAGCACTACCCTATAGTCCATTCCAGCTCCAGCTCTGGCCACAGCCGGTCTATAAAAGCTCTCATAGAGCCTATCGCTGTCTGTAATATTGCTGAAATGAAATGCTGTTCAAACGTTAACTTGGAAACCTAAGAGCTACAAGAAGACGTGATCTCTTCACAGGGATCAGTAACTTATATCTCTCAAACAATGCTCAGTTCTCCCCAAGACCCTTAACTCAGACCCAAAGCCACTGGACAATGAAGGCAAGCTGATCTGCCTGTTGTGCATGAAGCAAGATATTTCACATCTAATTAAAGCTGAGGATTGTTTCATAAAAGCGCTAATGAGACTGTGACTCTACCATCGAGAAAGCAGTTGAGGCTAATCCGTTTGAGGGTGTGCGTGTGAGTCTAAGCACACTGTTAGAATTAAAGGTGCCACAAAAGGTTCCCAGAGTGATGCCACAGAAGAAACACTTTTGGCTTCCTAAACCCTTAAAAAGGTTAAGGTTCTTTAATGGCAACAGTGAAACATGAGGTAGAACCATGACAAGTCAGAGAACCATTTTTGTAATAATAATGATACATCTCTGATATAAAGAGACTCTGTGACTAGTTTTGTACAGGAATATAAGCAAAACATTGGAAAGCTAAAAACACTACAGTAATGAAAATAACAGTCATGAACAGGAGAAAAAGAGCCACAGTACTCCTAAGCATATGACGAAACAAATACGTTTTTAATCTGAATTTAAAAAGTTGCATTCGTAATATTTCAATACTGTTCTAGAGTATAGAAGCTATATAAGAAAATTACCTTGCACCAACTGAACTTTAAGTGAGAATAAGCTGCAAGAATGCATAAATGGGTCTTGGAATGGTTAAATTGGTTTCTTTCTGACAGAAAAACTGTCATTTATGCTTCTTTGCAGAACCTTGGGCTCCTTTTTTACTATGAAGAGTGACACAGAATCTTTCTTAACTTTTCAAAAGGCACTGGTGCAGTGAAGGGAAAGATTGAGAATGTTGAGCTCATCAGTTGATAAGACCACCCTGGCCACAAGTGGGAGAGAAGCAAAAAGACCACCCAGTACCAACAGAACAAGTTAAAGAACAGTTTAAGCTCAAAAGCAAGATGATGTTTACTATAAACTTCTCTACAATGCTAACACTATAGGCCAACATAGCAATGATTCCACTGGTGAATGAAAGCATGAAGCTACAATGAAATCATCACTTAATCAAAGAAAACATAAAAAGAACACTAAAAAACAAGAACACAGGACAATTATTCTCTGGTTTTTAGTGACTTCCTTTTCATCAGCACCAGTGATTTGGTATGACTCAAATGCTATTTAAATGTTAATCTGGAAAAGTACACTGGACACAGCAAACATTTAAATGTTCATTTAGGAAATTATATTTTCTGTACTGTCCAGCAATAATAGGACATCACTGAAAAAATCAATTAACGTAAAATCCTTTACACTGTGTGAACATGTGAACAAATGAACCCAAAATGACTTGGAATAAAATCTTGGAAATTAACTTACATTAAAAGTTGGTAACGTTTTTTTCCCCATCTCCAAAGTTATCATTTTGGAGATACGAGGTTCTGTACTGACAGAGACATCATACTAGACTCTTATTAGAATTATTCCAATCCATATGTACACTCTAACCCCAAACTGTCAAAGGAACTGGGTCTCTTCCACTCTGTTGGTTTAGCACAGGTGTTTGGATACCATCTCTGCTATCTCACCAGGGACCTTTTCCTTGGCAAGAAAGAATGATTACACTTCCTCTCTAAAGGAAGATGCACACATCCACACACTGACTCTCTCACATTCTCCTATTTTTCTGTTTGTTTCTCTGTGCTGCTTTCTCACATAGACCATTTCTCTGGCACATCTATTGCTGTTTTTCAAGCTTTTTGTTCTTTTTCCTGACAGTACAATTGAAACTGAAGGAAGAAGTCTCTCTCACAACCTTGCAGTCTACACCCCCCCCCACCAGTCCCATGTGGCTTTGTGGAGCTTTCTCGTCCCGTCCTACCTGCGATATCTCGTAAAGCAGTTTGTAATGTTCCTCTCTCTTCTGCAGGGAGCACAGATTGCAGCCCATCCTCGTCGTCACGGATACGCCAGACCACTTTCTCTTTCTCTCTCCCCAGAAGCGCTCGGGGGGTCAGCATCCAGTCTCTCATCAGTCTGTCCTTAGCACTTCTCCTTTACACCCCTGCATCCTCCTCCTGCTCACACACTTACACACACACGAGCGTGTGTGTGAACACACAGCTCCAGTCAGCAGCGCATGTGCTGGTGTGTGTGGCGCATTCGCAGCAGTAGTAGTAGTAGTAGCAGCAGCGCCAGCCGGAGCAATGTCAGGGTCCCACTTCTCTCCCCCTCTACTCCCTGACACACTCACATGCGCTCTCTCTCTCTCTCACACACCGGTCAAATACACAGACACTCCCCCCTTCTCTCTCGCAGCTTCCGCACACTGCCTGGACCATGAATAATGACGAGGGAGCCTGAGCATATGTATGGAAGGGGGAGTGGCTAAGCGAGTGGGAGGAGCTAGTGTCTCTTGCTCATTAAGGATCAGCCACAGTAAAGACAATGAGGTTTCCTTTGTGTTGGTTTCAGAAGGAAAGGAGGATTCTGTACCAAAAACCATCCAATAAAATACAAATGGAACTCCAACACCAATATCAGAATAAGGGGTGGGCGATATGGCAAAAATAGCATACCGTGACACTTAAAGACATTTTCACAATATATATTTATCAAATATACATATCAAAAACACCATGAATTTTATTCAACCTTTCATATATTATGCTGCACTAAATTAAATTAAACAGGACTAGTTATGCTCTCTTTGTAATGAAACATGCAGTTGGTCAGTGTTCTTAAATACTGATGATATCCACAATATGCTCAGAAAAGCAATTCATCACAATTTTTTTCACAATACCAATAAAATAGTGCAACATCTCTAATAACACTGATATCAGCAGATATTTGCTGAAAACTTAAAATATCAGCATTGAACAGATATTTTCATTTGGCTGACATTTTAAATCCATGTTTGATAATAAAATCGTACTGTGGAAGAGCAGGACGTTTAGGTGACGCTGCACTACTGTGCCAAAATATCTGCATTGACTGCATTTTCAACAGAAATAAATGGCTATGCTTTACAGTATCTACACACATTCTATATTCATCAACACTCTATATAACAATCACAATCATCATTCTGAAACATTCATTAAATATATCTGTTAATGATTAATGAACATACAATGAAAGCAAACTCAGTGATGAATAGTGTAAACATCATGACATGATCATGCATTCATTAAAATACATCTTACTTCTTTTCAGAGAACAAACACAAAGCTAAGCACATGGTATTCACAAGATACACATAGTGCATTCATTACTGTTCCCTTAATTCAGTTCAGAAAACTGAAGTAACAATAAATAAAGTATCTCCATTATTTACTTTTCTACATCAGTTGAGCCCACCAGCTGCCCTCTACACTGTGTGTAACTTTCACAATGGATCAATAAAAATGCTCCCAAAATTGTTTACAGTCAAACTCACAGTCAAAGTAAAGAACGTTTTTGTCTACTCCAGTAAAGTTACCATTTTGGAGATATTTATTTTTCTTCAGACAGCGATGATATGGTGGTTATTATAGACACTTTGAACAATAATTAAATGAATGTAATTTGGATATTTCCTAAGTAGGCGTGCTGTGTATTTAGAAGAGCTGTTGGATTCAATAAATTTTTGGAGTTGACTCGGATTCCAAGTGACAGGAATCGTTGGAGTCAAATCCACAGAATAAAAACAGAGAGAAAGACACCTAGCAACTATAAAGAGAACAATATTAATTGTATTTGACCTTAGAAAGGAAATCTGTAGAGCTAATCAAGCTAAAATAACTTAGCTGACCAATAGGGGCTAAACAGTACCTGGTTCTCCTCTGGCAACTCTTTCAGGTGGGTAGATGTTGTGGCTTTGGCAATGCTGTTTGATTGTAAGCCAATTTTTCATTGCAAATGTTGCGTTTTACTTCACTTCATTTTACATCTCCACTTTAGATAAAGTTAAATACAGCTGTACTGCTAATGTGTGAGCAGGAAGGATGTGTTTTTTAGACAGTCTATGTGGACAGTGACAGCAGAATATTGAACATCTCTGTAAGGAATCGAGTCCAGCTTTGCCTAGAATCGAGGAATCAATTGTTCTCGGGATCGACTCCCCACTCTAGTGTTTATTATCCTTTTCATACCCTAAATAGATTTTAATTTATTTATGAAGAGATCATGCACTATCACTGAGTGAGTTTCAAACCACTATATTACATGCTCTTTACTCATTAATCAATGTATTTAATGTATTAATATGATAATGCAATTGTAATAGGGTGATACTTTACTGTTCATAAATATGCCAGTGCTTTGTGTACATGTAAGGTGTCTATTATATTTTATAATTCTCCATAAAGCTAATCCAGATGGATCTAATCCCAACTTAATAAACATTTATGTATTGATATGAGCATCAGTAGATATGTACATGGAAAACATCAGATATTGCATCAGCCCACATTTCCCATATCAGTGTGTCCCTAATAATAACAGCAAATTTCACCCTATTTCCCAATAAAATCGTTTTTATTTACACCACAGAGCTGGAAAGACTTCATTCAGAAGAAGCCCTCAGGGGATGAAAAACAAGTCTGGTGTATGCATTCTTATTTTGTTTGATGGATGAGATGGTTAGATAAGGGGAGGGAAAAAAAATCATGGCAGAGAATTGATTGGATACACTTTATAAAAATAAAAAAAAAAAGGCACAAACTAGGTCAACCTGCTATATCTTCAACCCTTCACAACCTGCCTTGAGCCACAGACTCATGATTATGAGCATGAAAAGCAGTTGTTTTATATGCAGCAGTATCTCACACTATAACAGCGGCAGCAGCCAGAAAACTTGCTGAGGCAAACATAAAGCGAACCAAGAAAGCGCCCGAAAGATTTTTATCTCCAAACAGCGCTGATATTTTCACAATGGAGTCTTGAAAATAGCTACAGAGACTGATAATTACTTTAACATATCTTGGCCATCTCAGACTGCACCAGGTACAGCTCTCTAGAACCCACATCTACAGCACACAAGTGATAAGAGCACAAATAAACGCAGATTCTGGATGCCACACATGCGCTGCAGACATTGCAGGTGTCGTCATAACAGCATCTCCAGAAACAAGTCAGCAATCAGGGATGAGGAGGTTCATGGTGGACTGATAATAGCAGACACATCTCTCTGACTGAGATAATTACAACACAATAGAGCCACGGTGGGGTACAAATCCAGAAGTGGGGAAGGAATGGTAACGAGCTGTAATTGTTAACAAATTGGCCGAGTCAGGATCCACACACTCACACACACACTCACACACACACACACACACACACACACACACACATCTATACACACAACCAGAGGTAAGGCTAAATGAGCTCCATCAATTGGCTATCAGGCTGTTCCCTCTGGGAGAAAATAATCTAATTTACTGGGCTTTAATATTGCCCCACAGCCTGGGGCCAGGCCAGAAGAGACCCTACCAACCTACCTACAACGGCAGTAATACAAGAACAATTACATGCATAACAAAAAGTCTTAGGTCACATAAGAAAACAAAATTTAAAATCTTTCATCTGGACAGTAGGTGTTTTTTTTCTTGGAAAAACACTAACATTAGAATAAATATAAATGAACTTAAAGAAAAGGAAATGTTCTGATGTGTGTTAGCTTAACTATTTCTGAACCTCTCCTCAGCGCAATGCAGTATTTATAGTTACAATCTTATACCTGGTTGAGTTAATCAATACTTCATTAAGTTAAATCAGGTGTGCTTCTCATGGAAATTTAACAAATGCATACAACAGCTGGACTGTGAGAAGTCAGGACCCAAGCCTGCATTCTTATATTACACATGTTCTACTGCAATAATGCTTATTTCTATTTATTGTAAGGCTAAAGTGTTATAACAAAGAAACACACTTACTGCCAAGATAAATAGTTTCAAAATGTGGATATTGTACTTTATGTTTTACCCTGAGGACCTGTTATGATATTTGTATACTAAATGCATAATTTATTTTTACCCATATAAGACAATATTCCAACCTCTCTTCATCCCTTAGAATTTGTGTCACTGTGTTCTTAAGAGTGATATATGCAAATGACCTCTGTTCTGATTGGCTGCCCTGTGTTATGCTTTGTTCAAAAAGCAGTCCAGGCTCAAACACTATAACCTCAATGTCAGTGGGTGGGGCTAAACTGCTGTAGGTTGAACACAAATATAAGTAAACATGCTGTTTTTTGTGACATCACAAAAAAACAGTAAATTAAAAACAGGCTGTTTTTGCAGCTCAATTTTCATTTTAACCTTCACTTGCTTGACACCTCAAGCTCTTTATTATTTATTATAATCATCATAAGCTGAAAGATTAACCACCAACATGCTTTGGAGGTGACAGTGGAATCAGTTAATTACATTTTGATTAACAGATCAGTTTGGTGAGAAAGAAACATTATCAAATATTCATGTGAACTGCTGTTAGCTTAGTGCTAACATAGTACTAGAACCCCATAGGGCACATTAACATTTAAGTCCTGACCTGAAGGCCTAGCTCTAACAGCCACACTTCACCACAGAGTTAATACCATGGTAAACTCATTTTTACACAGTATGGGTCCATAAACAACACTAATTAAGATTTTTGGATTGTACTGTATCTGTAACATATCAGCTAGTTCTGACACATGTCTAGTACTCCTGCTTACTACAGCGTGTCAGGTATGTGGTACGAATGACATATAAACACAAACAAGCAATTCAACAGAGCATCTACAAAAGACACACACCATGTAGAGAACACACACACACACAGAAACCCCTCCAGATTCTTTGCCCCGAAGAAGCACGGAACCAGAGAACAGCCTTTTTGCAGTTGCCAGGCAATACTAGATCCATGAAGTGCTATCCACTAAAGTGTCAATTTTACATCAAAGGGGCTTGTTGTGAGAGGAGAGAGTACAGAGAGCAGGGGAATGATATTGCATTTCAAGGGCTGCATGCGGCATCCATGAACCAGGATTCAATTTCGGGCTTTAGCAGAAACTACTGCAGGGAGCTCAGAGCATCAGCATGAAAACAGCACCTCAATCAACATGTTTGTTTGTATTACTCATACTAGTCACCTCATGATCGATAGCAGCCATAAGATCCAGCACCGATCTCTATTTGACGTTTTAGCTTTGTGCCATATTAACGGACCTAGAACACATATGGCCTTTATAATTACTGCTGCATTGTTACACTGGTTTTAAAACAGCAATTTGAACAAAAATCTAATTTACATGATGTTCCCCTAACCCT